AATGCATTGAGAAGCAACCAGACTGGACACGGGGAGAGCAGCTAGGAGGCCAGTGCAGTAATCCAGGCAAAATATTGTTGTACCCTGGAACATGTGAAAGCAGTGGAAAAGGAGACAAGTGCATGAGTAGAGGGATACTGAAGAAAGAGTTCTGACAGGTCGTGGTGATTGACTGTATACGTCCAGAAAAGGAGAACAGGATGGTGGTGGTGTGGTGTCTGTATCATCTAGGGTTCAATCAGTAAAAGCTGAACTGTAGGACTCATGGAATAAGGAATTTGTTGTTGAAATTAGACCTTGCACAGTTTGTGGAAGCAAGTGAACATCTGGGAAGGGGAGTTAAATCCCCAACCAGTCAGTCTGAGAAGCTAAGGATGTCCAGCCACTGAAGTTTGACCTCAGAGGGGAGACTGATGGAGAAGTCTAGAAGAAGTATTTGCCTTTGTGGGTCTAAGGGCAGGCATCTGCTGATGGATCTTGGGCTGCTGTTGGTCAACAGGGCCTTCAGTCCAGAGGAAGAGCTGGAGGCAAAATAGAGGGAGCAAGGACAAGCTGGAACCCGCCAGGCACCTCTGCATCTACAGGTCATATCATTGAACCATGATGGCATTCAGATAGGGTGCCTCCAAATTCCGTTCTTGGCCAGCTCTAACCTGGAACCACACAGGGAAAAGGATTCTGCAAAACAGTTTCCAGCTTAACCAAGGTAATGGTGGGAGATTCTGGAGGAAATGTAGTGAGTTCCATTTTGGACATGTCAACTTTGAGTTGACTGTAGAACATCCCCATGGAAATGTCCAGGAAGCAGTTGTCTTGTCTAAATTTTTTCAATATGCAAACAAATGGCTCTAGAACTCTAGTTTTAACCCATCCTGTGGTGTGAGGGTGGAATACAGCTCTGGATTATGAGTCTAGGAGCTAAAGGTATTGGCCAGGAGGGAAGACAGTCTCAAGAAACAAAAAGACGGTTCAAACAAGGTCTATAACTCTGGCAGTGACTTGGGGCAGTGAGATGGAGTGGGCAGACCCTACAGGGCGGGTCCTGGAGAGATGGGCTGAGATACCTTACCTCTGAGTGAGAAGAGAACTGGTCTGTGCATTAAGGGTGGCCTTCTGGAATCAGTATGTTGAAAGTCCATGACTTACAAGAAAAAAACTTACTTGATAGTCCCTCCTCTTATTTTTTTAATCCTATTATGCAGGCTCAAGACAGTATATTTAATGAATGACTCTTCTTTCCGAAATTTCAAGCACAAGTTTGTTACTTAATACAGTTGTGCCCTTCCTGCTTCATAGTCCTTCAGAATCATAAAGAGAGTTCTGACCAAGGTTCCAGGTGATGTAGTGAACATTCCACACAGAGAGGTCTCCCATCACATCACTGGGACCCCACCCCCCCACCGCCACCACCGCCACCACCACCATAGCCACCTCCACTACAGCCGTCACCATCACTATCCAAGTTGGAGGAATGGAGGCTGGGGAAACGCTGTAAGAGGAGGTGAAGGGAGGTAACAATTCCAAATGAGCAAGGAAATTAATAGTGCTTTCAGGTAAATTGTCTTCATTTCTATTGGATGACAAATGTAGTCAATGAACATTTTTTTAAAATTCCAGTGTAATTAACATACAGTGTTAGATTTGTCTCAGGTGTACAATATAGTGATTCAACAATTTTTTTGGTACAGATTTATTTATTTATTTGAGAGACAGAGAGAGAAGGTGAGCGGGTGGAGGGGCAGAGGAAGAGGGAGAAAGAATCTCCAGCAGACTCCACAATGAGCACAGAGCCTGACATAGGGCTTGATCCCACGATCCCGAGATCATGACCTGAACTGAAATCAAGAGTCAGATGCTTAACCAACTGTGCCACCCAGGCGCCCCAGTGATTCAATGATTCTATACATTACTCAGAGCTCATCATGATAAATGTGCTCTTAATCCCCCCCTTTTTTTGTTTGTATCCAAGCGTTATGAGAAAGCAAACACAATTATGAGAAACCGGAACACTCGGGTGGCTCAGGCTGAATACACTTGATAACCCTCACTGGGAGAGGGCTGAAAACTATTTGGTAGATTCCCTAAATCAGTAAATCAGATTCCTATGTAAATGATCCAGGCCACAGACAGACAAGTAGGATCCCATAGTGAGTCTAGGAGATGGGACACTGTGAAAGGTACCACCTATTTCCCCCATCCTCCCATCAACTGCCCCTCTGGTAACTGTCAATTTATTCTCTACAGTGAAGAGTCTATTTTTTGGTTTGTCTCTCTTTTTTTCCCTTTGTTCATTTGTTTTGTTTCTTAAATTCCACATGAGTAAAATCATATGGTATTTGTCTTTCTCTGACTGACTTCACTTAGCGTTACACTCTCTCTATCCATCTATGTTGATACAAATGGCAAGATTTCATTCTTTTCTATGGCTGAGTAATATCACAATATATAGATAGATAGATAGATAGATAGATAGATAGATCTCACTTTTTTTTAAGATTTTATTTATTTATTTGACAGAGATAGACACAGCAAGAGAGGGAACACAAGCAGGGGGAGTGTGGGAGAGGGAGAAGCAGGCTCCCCGCTGAGCAGGGAGCCCAATGCGGAGCTTGATCCCAGGACCCTGGGATCATGACCTGAGCTGAAGGCAGACGCTTTAATGGCTGAGCCACCCAGGTGCCCCTATATCTCACTTCTTTATTCACTCCTCTATCAGTGGACATTTGGCCTGCTTTCATAATTTGGCTATTATAAATGATGCTGCAGGGGCGCCTGGGTGGCTCAGTCATTAAGCGTCTGCCTCGGCTCAGGTCATGATCCTGGAGTCCTGGGATCGAAACCCACAATGGGCTCCCTGCTCAGCGGGAAGCCTGTTTCTCCCTCTCCCACTCCCCCTGCTTGTGTTCCTTCTCTCGCTGTGTCTCTCTCTGTCAAATAAATAAATAAAATCTTTAGGAAAAAAAAATGATGCTGTAATAAACATAGGTGTGCATGGATCCCTTTGAATTACTTTTTTTAAAAAAAAATTGGGGGTAAATACCAGTAGTTTGATTACTGGGTCATAGAATAGTTCTATTTTTAATTTTTGAGGAACCTCCATACTGTTCCCCACAGCGGCTGCACCAGTTTGCAATCCCACCAACACTGCACAGGGGTTCCTGTTTCTCCACATCCTCGCCAACACCTGTCGTTTCTTTTGTTTTTGATTTTAGCCATTCTGACAGGTGTGAGGTGATATCTATCTCATTGTGGTTTTGATTTGCATTTCTCTGATGATGAGCATCTTTTCATGTGTCTGTTGCCATCTGTAAGTCAATGAACAATTTTATCTACAGTGTTCTTTTTCCTCCACTTTCTTAGTTATCAAATGAAATCTTGGCTTCTTGTTAGACTATGTACACAGGGAAATGATATATTCTTCTGACTACCTTCTACAAAGGAGGGCTTCCATCCCTCTCTATACTCTTATTCTGCTATATTTTTCATGTTAGTACTTACTCCCATCTGGTATTACATGTTCACATGTTTCTTTTATGTATTGCCTTCTTATCAGAATATAAGCTTCATCACAGACCGTGCCAGTTTTGTTTACTGCTGTATCCCCAGCAAATGAAACAGTACCTAGCATATTGCAGACACTGAAGCATTTCTTGAATGAATGAATGACACATTATATTGTAAGAATAGTTCCATGTGAGAGAGAACTATTTTATGGCTATTTCCCATATACAGAAAAATAAACTTCTGGTATGAAGGATTCGCTCTAAGTCGAATCACAGTAGTAAGGTGCCTTATGTATTGTCCCAACAGTTCATCAAGCCTCAGGAAAACTGCATCCTTTACATGAACATTACTAAATAATAGCAAATAAAAATATTTGTTATACATTTTGGCCAGAAGAGCTTAATAGCTTTGCCAGCTCTCATTTCTCCCCCTACTTCTCTGTTTGCCTGTCCATTTCCTTCAGTGGGTCCTCTTCCTCCTGCTAACTGGTCATTCCCTCAGATTTGCCTTCCACCCGCTTGTTGATATCTCTCAACTGTGAGTTTTTCTAGGTCGGCTTCTCAGGTGTCATGATGCCACTCCTGGCTAGATAAGGGGTTAGGTCCCTGGGCGGGCACTGTCCTGGACTTCATCTGACCTGTTTAATTCTTTGTGTGAGCACATGAATGGCTCTGCAAACTCCTCCCCTCGAAGCTTCGAGCCTTATCTATCTGTGCATCGTCAGCATATGTGTGGACAGAAGTTGTCCTGTTGTAGGTATTGAAGAAGTGAATGGGTGCTGATCATATTTGTTGATGAGACTGAAGTGTTTATCAGTGAAATTGATATAATTTTGGCATTTTCTTTTAAATATTCCAATAAAAGTAATAGAATGAAATAAAAAAACAAAATGGCTGAAGACAAAGATGAAACAAGAATGGACAAATGTTGATAATGGTTGAAGCTGATGATGGGCATATGGGGGCTCATTATACTCTTCTATTTTTGTGTACTTTTACATTTTTCTGTTAATAAAAACACACAAAAATTTGTGGCTGAGGCAAAGACAGGAAGGCCTACTAATATGCTAATAGCTTCAGAAGCATTTATGAGGTGGAAATTTGTAAATAAAATTTTACAATAGGAATAAGTAGCTATATTCAATACAGTTGTGCCCTTCAGGGAATTAAATACAAATAAGGAAAAGAGCAAAACATTTTAAACTTTTCAGAGCTTTGCTTGTTTAATTTCTAATCATATTGCCATATGTAAACCATATATGAACGTTGCTAAAGCCCTTTGCCAATTACATAGTACTCCATCTTATTTATCATTTTTCATAGAAAGTTTTCCTCCCTCGAAATAAGACTTTTGCATAGCATATAGAATGAAAATTCTACTGGGAAGAATCTTAAAGATTTTTGCCTGTTTTCTATAGCCATAAAGTATTACTTTACTTACGCATTCCTTTTTTTTTAAGAGAATATTAAATCGTTTATTGATTACACATGATAATGGATGATACACAAGCTTTAATCCCATCTATAATTTTATCTGATACCATAATTCAATTTAGATATATTGCATAGGATGTGCCAACAATCATATTAATAACCAAATAAACTCCAGGACTTTGCTTGGGTGACACTTTTAATGGTGAACTCCAGGTCACAACACATTAACTGTCAGTTCAACTACACCAAGGTTTGTGGAGACAATGGCTTCTGTGCCCAAGCAGGTTGCAAATCAATTTCGAATGGAACCTGGCATCACCCTGAAGGAATTCTAACTTCACACTGTTGGGGTAGTATTCCAAGATGGCTTCAGAGTAGACTAACTACACAGCACATTTAAAAAAAGACACATTTATTCAGCGTCATGATCAGACTATTACATTTAGCAATCAACAGCATGGGTGCAAAAAAAAAAAAATCTACATTAAAACCCTTTGTTGGAATGCTTTACACTTTCCACAGAACAGAAACTAAAATAACCTGTTATACAATTAGTCACAAATACAGTCCTTGAGTTTTTTGCCCATACACATAAGTATTGTCTAAAACATGTCTTCTTTGTAGCGGCTAGGCCCTGCCACCACTGTGCTTGGCTGAGTTCACAAATCTGTTTGTAACCTGTAGCTTCCCTGTCACTTCTCTGGCTCTCCTCTCCTGCTAAGCTTTGTTTCCTGGCAGTAATTAAAACCTTCTGCCACTGCCATAGCTACTGCTGCTGCTGGAACCACCATAGCCACCTGGGTTTCGTGGTTTGGCAAAGTATTGGCCTCCACCACCACAGGGGCCAGAGCTTCTGCCTCCAAAATTTCCTCCTTTCGTGGGTCCAAAATTTGAGGATTGATTGTTGTAATTGCCAAAATCATTATAGCTTCCGCCACCTCCAAAGTTGCTTCCATCGTTACCAAATCCGTTATAGCCATCCCCACTGCCACCATATCCACCACCACCTCGACTGCCACCAAAGCCACCTCGACCACTGAAGTTCCCTCCACGACCAAAGTTGTCATTCCCACCAAAACCACCTCCACGACCACCACCAAAGTTACCAGAACCACTTCGACCTCTTTGGCTGGATGAAGCACTAGCCATCTCTTGCTTAGAGAAGGCTTTCCTTACTTCACAGTTGTGGCCATTCACAGTATGGTATTTTTGAATGACAATCTTGTCCACAGAGTCATGGTCATCAAATGTTACGAAAGCAAAACCTCTCTTTTTGCCACTGCCTCGGTCAGTCATGATCTCGATCACTTCAATTTTCCCATACTGTTCAAAATAATCTCTTAGATGATGTTCTTCAGTGTCTTCTTTAATGCCACCAACAAAAATCTTTTTCACAGTTAAGTGGGCACCAGGTCTTTGAGAATCTTCTCTTGAGACAGCCCTCTCTGGTTCCACAACTCTTCCATCCACCTTGTGTGGCCTTGCGTTCATGGCTGCATCCACCTCCTCCACAGTGGCATACGTGACAAACCCAAAGCCTCTGGAGCGCTTGGTGTTTGGATCTCTCATTACTACACAGTCCGTAAGCGTTCCCCCATTGCTCAAAATGGCTCCTCAGACTCTCATCAGTTGTTTGAAAGCTCAAACCTCTGATGAAGAGCTTCTGCAGCTGTTCAGGCTTTTTGGGAGACTCTGACTTAGACATGACGGCGGTGGGAGGGGAGACTTTAATGATGCTTACTCTGCGGCGTCCACGGGCAGAAAGGAGCCTCATTCGTTTTTTTTTAAGATTTTTTATTTTATTATTTATTTGACAGAGAGAGACACAGCAAGAGAGGGAATACAAAAGGGGAGTGGGAGATGGAGAAGCAGGCTCCCCGCTGAGCAGGGAGCCCGATGCGGGGCTCGATCCTAGGACCCTAGGATCATGACCTGAGCCAAAGGCAGACGTTTAACGACTGAGCCACCCAGGGGCCCCTATGCATTCATTTTTAATTTACATACGTTTCTCAAAATTGTGTTCCATTTTTTCAAGTCTTTTTTTAGTTAAGTAATCTCTACACCCAACGTGGGGCTTGAACTCACGACAGCCAGGCGCCCCTAAATTGTGTTTTATTTTATATGTCCAGTTTATTATTTGTTAAACTTAGTAACAATTGTAGCAAAGCAACGATATATACAATTTACCACAACATATTAATAAATACATATAACACAATTCTGAAACACTCAGATTCAGGTACTGCTATTAAAAAAATCCTCACCCAGGGCACCTGGCTGGCTCAGTCGGGAGAGCATGCAACTCTTGATCTCAGGGTTCTAAGTTCAACTCCCATATTGGGTATAAAGATTACTTAAGAAAAAAAATCCTTTCCCATTGATTTACTGATTTTTTTCCTTAAATTAGTTTTATATAGAATACATTTTCCCCTAAACATTACAATTTCATGTCTTCATGTGATATGTTTTCATTTGGTACAGTTCTAAGTGTCCTTTTTGCTTAGGGTAGAAGGTGCCGGCACTATTTGAATGTCCCCTGTTGCCAACTGCCTCACCATTTATCTCATTTGATGCTATAAATAATCCTATTCATTTACAGATAAGAAAGCAGATGTTCAGAGAAGCTTAATAACTTGGCTAAGGCCATATAATTTGTAAGTGGAGACAGATTTTTTTTTGAAGACAGTTTTTTTTTAAAATCCAAACTCTACATTGTTCATAATGTATTGTTTTGTCTCTCCATATTCAAACTTGCAATATGAGGCCATGACTTAGTATTGAGTAATAATGGCAGATTCTAGGATGGTATGCAAAATGTGACTCTTATTTACATTTCAGAAAAGATGACATATATATTTTATATGTAAATATATTTATGTAAGTAATGTTAATACTATTAATATATTATTATATAATTATTATATGTAACATAATAATATATTACATTAATGATATAATTATAATATATTAATATATAATGTATATAATAATTATATTTATATATAATAACAAATACAATATATTATTAATATATTACAAAATATCTTATATATACATGTTTGGAAAGATAGATAACAGGCCATTAACCAAGACTGGGATTTGGGAGGTGGAGTTGAGACAGGGGAAACAAGGAGAACACTCTTTCATTTCTAGTTTGTGTCTTTCTGGCTTGAACTTAAAAATGATTATGCATTACTTTTATGCTCAGAGATATTATTATTATTTTGTCATTAGTACTAAATGGACTCATTTCTTATTTTAACAACTATCAGCATTTTTGAATACCTTTACTATGCTTGGAATGTTTTAAGTCCCTATGGGCCTCAGACATTCTTATTGTTGTAGGCCAATTTAACACATTAAATGTACTCAGATCAAATACAACTTCTATGAGTTGAGTTGAAGTTAAATATAACTTACATGATGTTGAGTTGAAGTTAACAACATGTCACATGTCATAAGCATTTAAAGCTACTAACTTTGGTTTTTTAGGTTTTAGAATGTTTTTTTAAAGATTCTTATTTATTTTAGAGAGAGAGAGCACACGAGCAGTGGAAGGGGCAGAGAGGGAGTGAGAGGGAGAGAATCTCAAGCAGACACGGTGCTGAGTGCAGAGCCTCATGCAGGGCTCAATCCCACCATCCTAAGATTATGACCAAAGCCAGAACCAAGAATTAGATGCTTAACTGACTGAGCCACGCAGGTGCCCCTCCTATTAATTTTCCTGTGAACCCTTTAAGTAGAAAAAAACAAAAGTATTTTCAGCAACATAAAATGGAGTACAAAAATAATTATGCTCAAATTTTATTTTATTTTATTTT